GCCTCCTCCTGTTCCTTGGACTTCGGTGTATTTGAATTTATTGTGGGCTGGCTTTCAGTCCTGCTCATTACAGCTTATAACCTGTGCTTGTTTCACCTATACGCAATCTACACATGAACAGACGTCATGCTTTTAGTTATAGTAAAGTTAAGTGGTTTCACAATCTCCACAGTGTCATGCCCGTAATATTAATCAGACCAGATCACCGCATTGCATGAAGTTAGTCGTTAAAACGATGAGCGTTGTTGCATGCGATAGGGCTCTATCTGTATTCCACTCAGCACAGCCCAAGTAGCTTCTGTGAACATGGAGGTAAAGATCAAACAAAGCCAAGGAGAATTTTTTGCACTTCCTCTTATGGTGTGAAAAGAAAGTAACACCTTGACTTACTGAACCTCAAAAGTGGAACCTGGTAGATGCTTTTTCCTTTATTCCCTCGAGTTGTTACTGGTGGAGATGAGGACGAGGGGGTTGTTTGTTTAATGCACAGCTGACCTCGTAGAGTAGGAACCAACAAAAAAAATGTGTGAATACCTGTGCCATGAGCGTTTGTACAGCCGAATTCAGAGATGAGGGTGAACGATGACCACGGATGGATGGTGGTTGCGGAAAAGTACCGCGCAGTCTCTGTGACCGCGTGGCACAGAACAGTGGAATAGTGAGACCCCCTGCATGCGGTTCGACCACCGGTCAGGGGTCCGTTCTTTCCTCATGGCAGCGGAACTGATCATGGACAAGGACACCACGGTGACGGAGGGTGGTGAGCCTGTCTTCTGTGTGATCAGGGCTCCCTGCTTCGGGAACGGTGTTTGGGAGCCAGTGACTCTGCCCAGGTGTTGCTAGTTGGTTGTCCTTTGGTTAATTCTAGTGTCCTTCTGGTTTTCTATGGGCCACTCACCTTGGTAGAGAGAATGCCGTTCCAGGGCTCCTTTCCCTGTGCCGGCCAGTCCGACGTGTGCAGGTCCATGTGTCCTTCCTTGAGGCCTATTGGCCGGAGTGTATTCTGATTCAGCAGGTGTCTGTCCAAACGTTCATTTGCTTGTGCTCACTGTTTGTCGAGTATTCGAATGTCACTTCTGGACACTGGCGTTAGAAAGTTAAATGAGATATTCTTTCCAAACTGAAAGTTTTGGGGGAGGAGTTAGCAGTCTAAGGAATACCTTTCCACATTGTTTTAATTTTCTGCCTTTCTAGCTTGAGATAATGTGCCCTCTTTATGGAGTAGTGCTCCTCGTCCTAATTCATCCTTTCTCTGGATTCAGGGAGTCGCCATTAACTTATTTACAATATCGGGTTCATTAGTCCATCACCCAATTCTTGTATTTCATGGTTTTATTGTGACCTCTAAACTTGCTTAGACCAAGAAGCTCTAACCTCCTGTTCCCACTGAGGGGACTTTTATCCAGCACACTTGACCTTCAGTTTGCCTTTGACTAGATGCTTTCCCATTCAGTCAGCCTTGTTTTGAGATTCAACAAGTACAACTACACAGAGTCTCATTCTTTCAAATACTCCAGAATTGCCATTACTGCACAGAATGAATACCGCAGGGGCTTCATTCCCGCTGTTCCAGAACCTCAGCTGAACTTTGCCATCCTTCAGAGTGCCTCTGGATTCTTTGAGCCCTTGTTTATCTTCTGTGGGAAGGAAATGGTGCTTTTCCGTACACAGAGCTGGTGGTGAGGCCAGCGTGCATCCACGTGCCTGAGTCTGGGCCACAAACCAGCAAACCTAGTGTGTCCTCAGCCTTTTGAGTCACAGCAGAGGAAAAGTTGGTTTGACACTAAATCCTTCAAAAAATAATCCATAGTTATCATAGCATATGCTCTGTGTAAAGATTAAAATGAATTACATATAAAGCACTTGAAAGAATCCCTACTATATAAGTATCATTGTTATCATCTTATTAGGCATATTTCTTTAGTCTCAGTAGTGAAACTGAATTCCTCTGTTGCCCACAAACAACTGAAAAGATCTCTTACCTGACGTGTGACTTCAGGTACCTTGTATTTTTGTTACCCAACATTTATTTTCTAAGATAAATCTTATCATCTCAGTTCTTCAATATATTATTGATACTTTCCAAATAAACAGATGTGTTCAAATGAGATCTTCCTATCTTTAAAAAAACTTCCCTTCTTGCATATAAAATGGGAACTCTAGCTACTTAAAGCAAAGTAGAAGCGGTGGTTGATGTCTGCTGCCCAGCGGTCCGACCTTGCATGTGTGGAGAGCAAAGGACGTCTCTGCAACTGCGAAGGCAGACATTCAGGTCGACCTCCGTGGGGCCGGCACAAGCAGCGCCCAGTCCTGAGTGGTGTGGACAGTGGGCACGGGTGCGCGAGTCCTGGTGTGTGGGACCCCTCCAATGGGACCCAAGGAGGTGCTGGAACAGTTTGGTCACGTTCGTGACTGTTTCTGTGTTTCTGGCCCTCAGAAGCCCAAACCATGATAAGGATGCTGTTAATACATTTTCAGGCATTAGGTCATTGGTAATCTTATATTTTTACAAGTTTTGATTCATTTAGAGTATCCTAACTTGATGCTAAGTTTTCCACAGAGCATGAGATTACCAACATGCAATAATGAATCGTGGAATCCAAGTGTTAATTCACAGAAGCCAGACAACGCACTGCCTAAGTGAGCCCGAGAGGGGCCAGGTGTGCGGCCCGGCCAAGTTTGGCCCCTGCGGGAAGAGGGCCACTGTACCCACACACCGGCTGCCGACTCAGTGCGTCCATGAACGTCTGACGTTGCCAGTCAGTCCAGTTTGGGGTTACCGTGAGGCAGCATTGGGCGTGACTTGACGTTTCTGGAACAAAATAAACTGGCTCATGTCGATGAGCCGTGAGGTGCTGTGTTACCTAACGTGACAGAACCGTGACAGGGAGCTGTCTCATGTACTGGAGCCAGACGTGTTTTAGAACTTGCATTATTCCAGGAATAGCAGTCTGCCTTCCAGAAGTCAGAGAGCGGTCCAGGACTCGTCCGTGGTCATTCCTGTGTCGTTTTTCCTTCTCCCCACCCTTTGCTCTGGGACCGCCTTTCTGCTGGAATCCTACTCCCGCCTCCGCCGGGGGTCTGAACAGTTGAGGAACGGGTGGTGGGAAGAGACCTGGGGCTGCGAGTGAACGGCCTCAATCTGCTCCTTCCATAGGCTGGGTTCTGTGTTAGGGTCACTACGCATCTGAATCCCCTTGAACAACATCACATGCCCCTTAACTAGGAACTGTCATCCCCACTTTCCGTACAGGGACCCTGAGGGTCAAGGGGCTTCAGTGACTACCCCAAACAAGCAGCGGGAGCGTTTTAAACCTGACTCAACGTCGCTTCCCTCCAGTTCCCTGTCCACACCCTGGGCAGTTGGAGAGCTGCAGTTTCCTGCTTTCCACCCACCCCATCCCACGTGCCTCTTCTCTCTGAGACCCCCAGTCCTCCACCTTTATAACAAAGGAGAAGCGCTGTATACTAATCACTTGTGCAGGCCAGTTTTTAATCCTTTAAGGCCAGTATTTTAAAAATGTTATAAATAACAGACTGAACAGCTGCATGCTAATATGAATGAGGACTAGTCTTACTCAATATTTTATATGATCATATCCCTAAGGAGTCTTTTTAGAATTTTTTCCTTTGCTTACTACTACCTCTCCTGTCCCTGCAGTTTTAATGCCACTGATACACTATTTATCTGTTTATATACCATTTATCTGTTTATATCCTGTGACTCTTGGGGGGGGACTGGCAGGTAAACAGACCATGACATCTTTTTCTTCCCCGAGAATCAGTTTTTGCCCCGCCGTGGGTGACGTCACTATTACTGAGAATGTATAGCATAGACCAGCCAGGTTCAAGTCAGTTGGCTACAGTCAAATTGAGACTGTGGTTCGCAAATGTCACCTCTGGGCCACCAGTAGAGCATCATTAGAAATATGCTAGAAATGTGTATCTGCGGATCGCGCCCCATCCACGGTCAGAAGCTCCGGGCTGGGCCACACCGGCCGCTCAGCCAGCTGTCCCAGTGACGCTGGCGCCACTGGCCAGGAGGGGAGGTGCTGCATGGTGGGTGCCCCTGTGATGACAGCGTCGAACAAGTGACACTACAGCTCAGTCTCCCATCCTGATGCAGCCGGATCATTCCTGGATTGAAGCCCCCCGCACACAGGGCCTTCCCCAAGTCACCTGTCTGACTGAGCCTCTACCCATGGCCACAGGGCAGGGCAGAGGAGACCCGGCCCCGCTCACGCCGTAGGGGGCGTTTTCACACGCTCACACATGAGGGATTCTCAGCACACTAGTCAACGATTGCACCGACAAAGGTCTGAGTTCCCAAAGAGAGTGAGTAGGAACATAAGCAAGTGAGCGGTGTTTACGTTCGGTGCCGATGCAGTCCCCATGTCGGCGCGCAGACGGAAACCAGGGCCCCCCGCCTACGGCAGAGTGGATTTCTGAGCCGTGTGCAAGACAGACTCTCAGGGGGAGCATGCTTTCTTCTCCTTCCCAAAGTGTCCATTTGTATTCTTTTACAAAAGAATAAATGTTATTTTTTGGTTCCTTTAGTCCTTTGTCCTCCCTACTGGTCTGCACCTGGGCCGCACAGCCTGGCCCGCCCACCTTACCCGCCCTTTTCCAGGTGAGAGAGCCACACCTCGGTAGCATTCGGGGGCTTTATTCTCCCATGTGGTGCAACCAAATGGAGAACGTCACCTGCAGGTGTGGCAGCAAGGACCTCACACACGCCGACCGCAGGGCGTGCAGGACCTCAAACCTGAGAAGTGCCGTGTGGCGCCAGGTCCCGGGAGCTCCCACCTGACACCTGCAACTCAGGGCCCACCCAAGTCAGTGATTTACAAAATGTAGACAGCTCGTAACTGGATCTCGGCTTCGGCGACAGGGCAGGTTTTATGTTGATTTAGGCCTCCTAGGCTGTAGACCGTAGAATTTGAATGGAGAATCCATGTCAGACACCTTCCGGTTTTTTGATCTGCTCTGTTTTGTTGTAGGTGGAGCTCGCTAAGGAAGAAAAGTGTGAATTTTTGCCCTTCCTGTCTCCGCGGAAGGTCATAATCAAGGGCGGGAGAATTGTGGCCATGCAGTTTGTGCGGACGGAGCAGGATGAAGCTGGAAACTGGAGCGAAGATGAGGAGCAGACTGTTCGGCTGAAAGCGGACGTGGTGGTCAGCGCCTTTGGCTCGGTCCTGCGCGACCCGGCAGGTAGTGTGGGGGCCACAGCACCGGGCGCCGGTGGTGTGCTATTTCAGCCAGCTTTCGGGGGGTTACTCACCCATTGATCCCCTTCTTCTGGTGGGGAATGCAAGCAATCCTGGTTTAAAAGCTTTAGAGATGGTATTTAATGCCACTCGACAGGATTCTTTTTAAAGTGTGGGATTTTAAAAGAACATGAATCTTCCCTTTAAGCTGATAATCAAGGTACATATTCTATTTTGTTAGCACAGTTGCCTTGTTTCTCTGATAAGACTGGCTTTTTCTTCCGTGAGACCCAGAGTCAGAAATTGGGGCAGGTAGGTTTATACAGCCAGTCTTCAATGATGTAGACCAGTTTTAGGGGCTAATGAATAGGCAAGAACAGAAGTTATGGTTACTGCTCTCTTCCTGTCCAGCCACCACTAGAAACATCAAATTAAAGTGTGAACTCTGGACAGTGTAAATCGGTGTGCTAAGGAAGAAGACAAAAGGCTTTAAACTTGGTGACAAGAAGAGGCAGTTTTTGTGTGGCATTCCCACTGGACGCTGAGTCGATCGGCGAAGAGCGTTCTGGGTCTTGTTGCGGTGCATGGTGGTCGGGGCCCCCCGGCGATGGGAGTATAGATACCCAGGGGCCTGCATTCTTCAAACCCTCTACCTTCTGGCTCGCACCGTTGAAATGACAGTTAACTGTTTTATTTACAGAAAGGAAAATAAAAAAAGATGTTTCTAACAGAGATTCATTAAGAACACTAATAACAAAAAAAAAATCTAACTCAGAGGCATGTTGCCCATGACCTCCTGCCCTAGCCTTGGGGACATCGCACTGTGCGTCTGAGATGGGAAGGGAGGCAGGCGTGCCGATGCGTGAAACCAATAAGTAAAACGTGTGACCAGGCCTCAGGGTCCTTTTATCTGCAAGACATCAGGCCTCTCAGTGTCAGGAAACTTCCAGATGTTTAATGTCATCAAGATAAATGTTTTCAAATAGCTGGATGATGGCCTGAATTTGTCACTTTCCCTCTAGATGTCTGTGTGACAAGGAGACACAGTCACAGTGCGTCTTGCTTATTCATTAACTGGGTCCAGAAAAGAAAAAACAGCCGAGTGTAGATTGCATTCTCTCATCTAAAAAATCATCCCATTCTTCCTGCTCTGCGCACCAGCAAGCAAACACGGAGCGGAAGTTGAGTCCTGTTTAACCAGCACTTCTGTTGACGGGTCACCTCCCAAACAGTCCTTCAGCTTACGCACCTGAGTTTATGTTCCACAAATGACAACTCTAATACGAAGAAAAATGGATCTTTTCCTAAGCAAACCTAAGTAAATGTGACTCAGAAAACCATAAAAAAAACACCAGCTTTCGCCATCACGGGTGTGACTTTGCTAAGCTTGCGTGTGTGTGCGCGCACCCACATATAAGAGCGAAAGATTTAACTTAGTGTTTAAAATACGAAGTAAAAGAAACTGTGACCTCTTTCTCTTTATTTGACAGAGTAATCCCAGAATTTAAATGTGTGTATTTTGCCCTAGACCTTAGCTCTGTGTGTCTCCTCCCAGGTTTCAAATGCATAACGCTCACCCGTCCACATTCGAGATTTAGAGACGTCACGGAACTAGGCCTTGTCTTATTCTCCTTTTTATTCTTCTTTATCCCCTCGCTGCCTGGCTCGGAATAACAAGCTGCCTGGGAAAATGATTATTAAATGGAATCTCCTGCTTGTCCAGGGCCTGGCAGAACTGCCATCCAAGTCAGCGGGGATGAGAAATTGCATTCTTGCCTCTGCCCCCTGCTACACGTGTCCACACTGGTTTTACACGCAAGGGGTACCGGGAACCAGGATTTACGCCGATGGCATTGAAAACCTTACAGCACTGATTGCAAAGCCAGGAAGCTCTGATGCGCACGCACATAACGGGTGTAGTGATTGATACTCAGATGACCAGGGGCCAAGCCGTCCACTCGGGAACAAAGAGAGGATGCTCATGCCGTGGTCCCTCATCAGCCCCAGATCTGCCCTCTCCTGAGGCTGTGTGCTGGGGGACTCATGGCAGATGCCTCGGTGACGGTCACACGTGATCCTCTGGGATTTAATTTCTTTATCTGTTAAAGCTCTCAAAACGTCACCCTGACTGTCCTGCTCTGTCCATCCCCTTCCCCACATCACTGGCTCTAGTGACCTGCGGGGCAGCCTCCGTGACGTCTTTTCAGTTCTTATTCTGTTTCCTGCATTTGAAGATGTGAAATATCTCTTTCTGCCTGAAACGCTCTCCTCCAAGTTCCTTAACCTTTCGGAGCCCTGGCTTCGTCCCCTATAAAAGAAGCCAAGGGGCACAGCAGCGCCTTCTGTCCCAGCCTCGCAGGGCTGCCGCGGGACCCAGTGAGACCCCGTGCTCCGGAAAGCAGTCTGCACACCCTGGTGCTGTGTGTACGCCTCTGTCATCTGGCCGGTTCCTTCCCCAGGCCCATCACCGACTGCTTTTCATCCTCTCGTGTATCACTTCTTAGTACTTCCCGAAATGCAGAGTTGCCCCTTTTCTCGTCTGAGTCTCTTCATTCCTTCCGTGACCGATTGTCTCATTCGTACGTTCATTCCTGGAGGAAATGTTTCGTGAACGGCTCCCGTGAGCCAGGCAGGGGCTGGGACGGTTCCACGTCTCAGGAGACAGCCTGCCCTGGGCTGGGCCGGTGCCCACGAGAAATGTTTACCAAATTCTGCAGCCAGTGCCGGGGCTGCGCTGTGTCCTGGAAGCTGGAGGGGAGAGGAGACGTGCTGTGTACACCCAAAGCTCACGGCTGGGGCTGGGAGGCAGACCCGCGCGCGCGCGCACACACACACACACACACACACACACACACGCACACCATTCTGCCATGGGGACAGTGCATTTAGAGAGAGACTCGCAAAGCAGGGAGGGGTGACCCCTCAGGCGGCCCCAGGAGGGCCCTTCTCCCCGTTACCATTGCCAATGCCACCGTAGTCCCAAAGGCCAAAATGTTACCCCCCTGTCTCCAGTTTTCCCTTCAGTAAATGCACTAATGTTACCCTATACTACGTAGGATAAAGGGCCCCCTCCTAGTGCTTGGAGGCTTCAGCAAGCGACTTCCGTACCCTGTGCACCGAGCTTTGCTCTCCAGCACATCCTGCGGAACTGCGCCTACCGGTGTGGAGCCACAGGTCGCAGCTGAACAGGCCCTGGGCAGGTGCGTCCCGTAAACGTGTGCGGGAGAAGTCAGGGCTTGACGAACCTGACAGAGCAGGTGCAGAGTGCAGGGACAGTTCATCGCCTCCACATTCCTTGATGATGGTGCTGTTTTTTAAGAGAAAATTCCTGTAGTGTCTTAGTTACGTCCATGATGCATTTTTAAAGTGACCTGAATTTGGGAGTTTGAAGGAAATTGGGGTTTCAACCTCAGTTTTCACGCTGATGTACTTGCTTTTCTCTCGCAAGTCCCTTCCTGTGTGTGTGCTTTGCAAAGGAGAAAGTGAAGTAACCCTTTGAACAGAGTTAAACACTCAGTATAATCTGTCATATGCAAGTCCTGCCATGAAAATGTTACTCGTCTCCACACCTCATAGAAAAGATACACGTGCGGAATTCATAAAACACATGTAGTCCTTGGGTTCAAGTTGCTAACAGTTTCACTGCTACTGAAGCTGATGATAATTCTCAGTAGTCATCGTTACTTCACCCAGTCTGCTGTATCCCTGTCTCTCCTGGGCGGTAGCAGTGAGTGGAAAGCTGGAACAAGAGACTGTGCGTCCCGGTTCCTGCGCACGGAAGGCGGGCGTGCTCACGGCGACGTCATTTACCTGAACCCTTCATCCGCTGGTGCCCCACATCCTGCGGACACGGTGGGGCCCAACCGTCTAGTTTGATTGAGATGATGAAGCCTTTGTCTCGTTCAGTGTCGTTCCCGTGGGAAACGCAGAGTGGCTCCTCCTCCCAAAAGCTCTCGTCCATCCATGGACATTCTCAAGCCTCCAGGCCACACGGAGTCGGGACTGTCATTGCTCCGGGCTGACAGGAAGGCGGTCGGTAAATTACGCACACGGTCCCTCTGCTAGGTATTTCCCCTCCGCGGACACTGCCCTTCCCTGGAAGTGTCAACACCTTTATTTATGTTAAAAACAGCATTTTGTAGAGCAGGAAGTCTCCGGCTCACCGCCAACGTTCCATCTCTCTCCCCCCGGACGGCGGCAGGTTTAAGAGACGGCCGGCTTCTTTTACCCCCTCCTCTCGGCACCAAACTGCCAGTTGCGAAGTGTGCCTGTCTTTTCTGTTAGTCTGGACTCGATGAAGGGACCATGCGACCATTTCCTCTGCCCCCAGATAAATGAATTAAATGAGGTGAAAGAAATGGAGGGCCAGGTTCAGACACTGGCACAATCGGTCCATGTTTTACTGTTGTATGAATTTTTTATGAGCAAGTATTTGCACTAAAGTTCAAAGAACAGACGAACGAACACTGCCCTTTATTGCCAGGCAGGAGGCACTTTTTGATTGACAAAAACATCAGGCTTTGTGATGATTAATAGGACTGAGGACGGATGAGATAGAGTTGAAAACTGACGTTCACGGCCGCTGTGACCCACTGGATGCGTTGCGGTGGCCCGTCTGGGCCTTCCCAGGCTCGCAGATCCAGGGGCTGGGAGGGACCTCAGAGATCACACTTGCCGGCCCCTCGTTGCACCCGCTGACCCGTGTTCTAACTTCTGACGGCCCGCTGTCCCAAGCCCTGAGCTCGGTTCTGGGGACAAAGTGGGGAAACAGCAAAGGCCCGCCTCGCCTCCGGGAATGCAGTTCAACGGGGAGTCTTAATATGGCAGTAAACGGTGCCGGGGAGGTTAGGAACCCAGGCTGGGGGCTCAGAGGAGCTCCCTAGAGGCAGTGGGGGGGCCAGCCGAAGTCTGGGTGCTGCGGGCGAGTTTCCAGGTGGGGCGGGGGCGGGGTCAGCGAGCCCCAGGAGAGGATGCAGGGCTCACCGCTAGAGGAAGCAGACATCT